GGCTCCCCTGACAGTGTGTAGCAATGGTGTTTTCGAACATCTGCGATCTGAAATCCTTTTACCTGGAAATGTCTGGGAATGAACCTGAAACCTCATACCTGGGCTCTACCTCTTAGCTGTGGCCCATCCCTTTGTTTGGCTTCACAGGGGTGAATCAGTGGGTGAAGCTCATCTTGTTGGCCTTTCAGCCCTCGCTCAGTCCCAAATATGGTTGCCAATCTGTGATTTTTAAAGTAGGAAGGCGGACGGTGTCAGTGGGCCCTGCCCAATTTTGCTGACTTTGGGAGGTGGTAAATAATTATTTTGCTATGTCAAGGGGTAGACCCTAGTGGGTTACATTGGATGTGAAATCTATTTTGTGTGTGTGTGTGTATGTTAGGCACTGGGCCTGGGAGAACAGAGTATGGGGTCATGAAGGAGAAAAACTACTATTCAGCAAAACACTGAATGAGAGGGAAAATACTAAAGGGGCACTGGAAAAATGCCTGAGGGTTGACAGCACAAGTTGCCGACCAGGGTCCTGAATTTTCAGTTCCTCTCATCTACAAAATCATGATGTGGCCTCAAACTTGAAACTTTCCCTGCTAAAACATGCCAGTAACTATTCAAATGTTTTCTTGCTCCAGGCCAGTTTTTAAAGTTCTTGTAGTATAGCTGAAGACAGCTAAGGCCTGCCCAATTTTGGAACCTGAGGAGAAAAATCCTCCTTGTGTTGACTCTTGCACAACTCCCCTTTATTTTAGGGAGGTTGGTTTGGGTAGGAAAATTTCCCATTGAATTGTGCTACTGTATGTCAGATCTGCCTGTTTGCTGTAGGGTTGCCAACTCCTGGTTGGGAAATTCCTGGAGATTTTTTTGTGGGGGGGGGGGGGCTTGGGGAGGTGAAGGGACCTGTGCAGGGTATAATACAATAGAGTTTGCTTTTCAAAGGAGCCATTTTCTCCAGGGGAACTGATTTTTGTAGTCTGGAGATCAGTTGTAATTCTGGGAGTTCTCTAGGCCCCACCTGGACTCTGCTGCCCTTAACAGTGTGCAAAATGTACTCAAGTACTCAAGAGAGCCAGTTTGGTGTAGTGGTTAAGTGTGCGGACTCTAATCTGGGAGAACCGGGTTTGATTCCCCACTCCTCCACTTGCACCTGCTGATGTGACCTTGGATCAGTCACAAGCTCTGGCACAGCTGTCCTTGAAAGAGCAGTTTCTGTCAAGAGCTCTCTAAGCCCCACCCACCTCACAGGGTGTCTGTTGTGGGGAGGGGAAGGGAAAGGAGTTTGTAAGCTGCTCTGAGACACCTTTGGAGTAGTGAAGGGTGGGGTATAAATCCAATCTCTTCTTCTTCAAGTCTACATATGGTGGTGGGCAATCCAGTCCGGGAGAGGATGTGTCCCAAAGAAAGACTGGAGAGGCCAATTTAATCAGCAAAATGGACATGAGTGTGGGTGTTGAACATTCCCTGCTCCCATGTCTTGTTTTCTTGCCCCTTTTCCCTCCAACTGTACTTCAGTGACAGAAGTGAGTCGGGAAGGGAGAGAGAAAAGCCTGTGCTGACAGATTTCAGGGACATAAGCAGTGTTCCCTCTAAGCTGAGTTAGTGTGAGCTAGCTCACAGTTTTTTAGCCTCCGGCTCACACATTTTTGTTCCAGCTCAGGAAGGACGGCTCCGGAGCAAACTAATTAATGCAGTAGCGAAATTGCTCGCTCACAGCCTGAATGCCAGTAGCTCACAAAGTAGAATTTTTGCTCACAAGACTCCAAACCTTAGAGGGAACATTGGACATAAGCCAGTGTAAGGTCCAGCTCCTCTCATGTTTGCACCTCTTTTTTGCTTTTAATTGAATTTGGGTTGTCAGCTCTGGGTTGAGATATGCTTGGAGAGTCTGGGGGTAGAGTCTGGGGAGGGCGGGGTTTAAGGAGAGTCCACCCTCCAGAGTAGCCATTTTCTCCAGGGGAACTGATCTTGGCCATCTGCAGATCGATTGTAGTTGTGGGAGATCTCCAGGTGCCACCTGGAGGTTGGTAACCCTATTTGTACATGACTGGAAGAGAACAGTTATTGAACACTTGGATCTTGTTGCTAATGTCATGGTTAATCCTAGAGAGGTTCATTTCAAAAGATGAAAAAAATTGCTTATGCAAGGGCTGAGGATTCTCTTCATGCATCTGATGAATGCTTAAGCATCAATAAATCTGTTAGGCCTTGAGGTGTTATGAGATTCCTTTTATTTTATTACTGTTATTTTATTTTATTTTGCTGATGCAAAAGACTAACATGGCTATGCCACTGGAATTTATATGTAAAAAAATGCCGAAGTATCTACTTGAGTGAAAAATGAATAAAGAGACAGTTTTCCTTAAGGGCTTGTCTGGTAATGTTTCAACACTTTAATGACAATCTGTCAGTGCAGGAAGCAATTCTAGTAGGTTTTGTGCAGAAGGTTTATTCTGCTCTGTGCTCTCTTTTGTGACAATTAATACTAATGGATTCATAAAACTCCAGTCAGCTGCCTTGAGTTTTAAAGGGTAGAGTATAAATATTCTAATAAATAAATAAAAAATTAAAACCTGGAAGGGTAGCTTTGAGAAGAGAAAAAAAGGTGAGCTGAAATTGTTGATGTCAGTGGTATCACAACATCCTACGGCAGGGATGTCAAACATGCAGCCCAGGGGATCTGGATCAGGCCCCGGAGGGCTTCTATCAGGCCCGCAGTGGAACTGGCTGTCTTCTGCTTCTTCTTCCAGTTCTGCTGCTGCTGTGTCATTGTAGGTTTGCATCTTACAGATACACACCTGAACAGCATACTCAAGATTACAGCAGCACAGAAATTTTGATGCAATAATTCAGAGCAAGAGGTTTCAGTTATCAGACAGTGTTAAATAAACAAAATATTGCAAGAGTGCTAATGTTTTAAGCATGTTTTTATTTTGAGTAAAAAAACCCTTTGTGTTTGTGTCCTTTATAAAGTTTATATCTGCACTACCTGGCACTGCATTTTATGACACACATGTCCCAGCCCAACAAGATCTCATTTATGCCAGATCCGGCCCTCATAACAGATGAGTTCGACACCCCTGACTTAGAGTCCCTGGCTGACCAGTTTGTTTTATTAATTTAGGTAATTTATATGCCTCCTCTCTAGAGTCCTGCTCAAGGTTGCTTACAAGTAAAACAATACAACATAATCATTAGAAAATACATTATCAATATTAAAAGTAAACAAAACCGATTTCAGACTGCCACTTCTACATCTTTTACCTAGTTTGCCAGTTCTCTTAGGGCTGGGTAGCTGGGCCTGCCGTTGCCAACATTAATACCAGAGAAATGAAATAAGGGAGGTAACCGAAAGAATGACCGGAAAACTAAAAAAAAAAAAAAAGTAGTGTCTGTTAGTATATCTGGAAAACAACAATCAAAACTCAGCCATTGGGGCAAAAAAATACATAGATCTATAATAATGTGAACTGTGATGCAGGATAACTATGCAATTTGTACCCTGCACAATTATTTATTTTTTTATCTAGAGAATTTATATGCCCAAATAAATACCCAAGGTGACTCCCAGAATAAAATCATAACATATAATAGTTTTTAAAAAATAAAACCTCAGTAAAGTGCAGTGTTATTTCTTATTATTTTAATTACATTATTTTAAAAGCCTTTCCAGAATAAATATGCTTTCATATGCCGCAAAGCCTACAATGAGGGTGCATCATATTTTCTGGAGGAGGGATTTCCACAGTTTGGGAACTGCATCTTAGAAGACCTTATTAATTGCCACCAGCCAAACTTCAGCCAGCAGGGATTACCATTAGGGATGGGCACAAACTGGCACACAAACTAAAGTTTTTGATGAATTTTGGCCAGTTTATAGTTTGCAAACTGAAATTCATGGCAGGTCAACTGGCACAAACTTTCAAGCAGTTCATGGCAGTTTGTGTGATTCATGAATGGGTATATTTCCAGAGAGACTGTCTCTTTTCACCAAACTTTGCCAAAAGTTTACCAAACTTCAAACTCTGTTTACCAAACTTCAAATAACAGGGGGAGAGGACTTGGAGAGCATGTAGAGGAGCATCCAGGGGAGATTCCCTGTGACTTTGACTTGCACAGGATCTATTTTATATACTCCCGAACCTGCACCTGTCATTTCCCCAGAAAGCAGTTTCCTGGGGGCACCTGCTTTGGGGGGCTGTAACTTGGACCCCCTAAATTCAATCCTCACCAAACTTGGAGGGCAGGTAGATGAGAGTAGGCCAGAGGTCCCCTGTGATTTTGGTGTCTCTAGCATGGTGGGGGTGGTTCTTCTGCATCACAAACTTACAAACCAAACTGTTTTGTTTGGCAGTTAAAGGTTTATGAGGCTTTGTGGTTCACGAAATGGGCATGCCACAAACCTCGAATCACATTTTCCTGGTTTGCGCCCATCCCTAATTACCATAGGGAGCCACCCCTCTTGTTATCTGAAATCAGACCTGTTTGTACATGGGAAGCAGTCCTTCAGGTACTTTGGACCCAAGCCTGTACAGCTTCAAAGACCACCATTTTGAATTAGGCCCGGGAACGAATTGGAAGGCAATTCAGTTGGCTGCTTATTGCATGCTAAAGTTACCAGACTGCTGTCAAGACAGGTCCACACAGAGTACTTCATAGTAGTCTAATCTGTATGCTACCAAGACATTGGCTAAATTAACCTTCTCCTGCTGGTAAAACTAGCCTGAGCTCACTGTTTCTATGACTGGCTTATCCAGAGACAATGAAGAGCCCAAGAATTTTTTAAAGTTTATTTACTTCATATATAGATTGACTTTCTCACTGAGAGTCAGGATGGATTACAAAATGTAAAGAACAGTTCAATCAGATGGCAAGGACCTCCAGTGAGCAATGCAGTTGGATTAGGACTAGGAATATACTCGGACTGCCTGCCTAGTCCTTCAGGGGGAGTACAATCTGGTGCATTGTGCACTGAGTGATTCAGAAATGTCTTTTTTCTTTTGCCTTTTCAGAGACCGTCAGTTACCCGGATGCTCAGGATGCTGGGCATGGAAGTGCTTCTTTGCGTAGATTACCTGTCCGACCTACAACCTATTCAGGTACAGTCTCTAGGAAAGTGTCCCCTCCTTCAGTTAGTTATATGCAAATATAGTGTGCACACATGCATGTATTGTTTTAGTTTCTTCTAGGGACCCCTGTCCCACACCTCAACATACCACATTAAAATGGGGGAAAATATCTACCTGGCAGTAAAAAGCATCACAAATAGTAACGGTTGTAATAAAAAAACCCACACTAACAAAAACAGTAACATATCCAAAGCATCAGAGTCAGAGGTAGCATAATAAAAAGATAAAACCTGTAATCAGCAGTAAAATGAAAAGAAGAAATTAGGGTTGCCAACCTCCAGGTAGTGGCTGGAGATCTACTGTGATTACAACTGATCTCCCCACAACAGAAATCAGTTCACCTGGAGAAAATGGCTGAGAGAAATCCCTGAAATCACCTGAAATCCCTCCCCTCCCCAAACTCCGCCCTCCTCAGGCTCCACCCTCAAATTCTCCAGGTATTTCTCAACCCAGAGCTGGCAACCCTGTATGTCATGCACTCTGAATGCTGGAACAGTTCTTAGTCTCGGCTTTTCCCCTCTGGCTTCAGCTGGCCTGTCCATATCTCTATCTTTTTTTTAAAGCACCACCTATTGGCTTAATCATGTTCCTCCTTCACATTACTAAAAAGATTTATGTGTTAAAAACAGTCGATTACACTGATAATAGACAACAGGCGCCCCCACAGCCGTTTGGTGTCTGATAATACTAGAAAGTAGAAACATGTAGAACCTGACTGCATTGTCCCCTATGTTCACTCTAGATGGAGTAGTGAATATATATTCCCATAGCAACAAAGGCACACACAGATCACTTCTGCCACATTTATGATGATACAACAACATCTTAGGCCCAAAGGACACATTCAATTTTATTAATTTTATTTACGTTATTTATAGTTCGCCTTTCTCATTCGGGCTCAAACTGGGTTACATGGAGTGAGTCAAGACCATCAGCAGGATGGGGCATTCGATAAACTATGCAATAGGATTAGGGTTGTAGAACCAACCAGAAATCTAAAAACAGAACTGAAGCAAAGCATATTAATGTGACATATTAAATGATGCACAATTACACAGCAGGATCAAGCTATACATGGCTATACGCAGTATAGCTTGCTGTAAGGTAAAGGTAAAGGTTCCCTTGCTCGAAAGCCAGTCGAATCCGACTCTAGGGTTGCGGTGCTCATCTCCGTTTCAAAGCCGAAGAGCCAGCGCTGTCCGAAGACGTTTCCATGGTCACGTGGCCGGCATGACTAAACACCAAGGTGCACGGAACGCTGTTACCTTCCCACTGAAGTGGTCCCTATTTATCTACTTGCAATTTCTTGCTTTTGAACTGCTAGGTTGGCAGGAGCTGGAACTAGAGACGGGAGCTCACTCCGTCATGTGGCAACTCAGGTCTCGAACTGCTGAACTACCGACCTTCCACAGCCTGCAGTTCAGCGTCTTAACCACTTGAGCCACTGCAGCTCCTGGCATAGCTTGCTGTAAGTGGTCCCTAATCTTGATCTTCACAGTCCCTAATCATGATCACCAAATGGCAGCTGCATAGCAATTTAAAAAGCTGCAGGGGCTTGATAAGAACATAGAAACGGCCCTGCTGGATCAGACCAGTGGTCTATCTTGTCCAGCATCTTGTCTCACACGGCAGCCAACGGATGGCCGAGACATTCCCCTGATATTGCCTCCTGGCTTTGGGAATCAGAGCTTTAGTGCCTCTGAATGTGGAGGTCCCCCTCAGTCACCATGGTTAGCAGCTACTGATAAACCTATCCTCCATGAATCTATCTAAGCTCTTAACATAAGAGATGCCAATGTTGGATCAGGCCAACGCTCTGTGTCACACAGTGGCCAGAAATACCAGGTCCACCAGTGGGGCTTTTTAAAGCTGTTTATTCCTGTGGCCATCACTACATCCTCAGGCAGCAAATTCCACAATTTAATCACTCTCTGTATAAAGAAGAATTTCCTTTTGTCCATCCTGAATCTGCTGCCCATCAGCTTCATTTGATGCCCTCAAGTTCTAGTATTTTGAGAGAGGGAGAAACATTTCTCTTTGTCAACTCACTCCACCCCGTGCATAATTTTATAAAGCTCTTAGTTGTCGCTTTTATAAACTGAAAAAGATTCTTCAATCTTTTTTCCTCATAGGGAAGGTGCTCCAACCCCCTAATAATCTTGGTTGCCCTCTTCTTGATTTAGATTGGGACTGCAGCATGGGAGAAGGTTTCCTTGCCTTCCTTCCTGTGCTGTTTTCCTGGTACAAAATGGCCCAGGGATGCATTATTTGTCCCACTGGGATACTGCGTGTGCACTGGATGCTTGCTTGTGCAGCCCCACAATGGAGCTAATAACACCCTCCCAACCATTTCATGTCAGGAAAACAACAGGGAGGGAGGCAAGAAACACCCCCCCCCCCATGGCACTGCAGTCTTGACCAGAATTGGGCACTGCCACAGGGAACATGCGGTTGGCATCCTGTGACAAGTCCCCATTGGGACCATGTGTTAAGCATAATGTGTAGCTTGGCCTTTAGTGTACAACACAGGGTCATAGAGCTATGTACTCATTATTTATTCTTTAAATTTATATCCCACCTTTCTTCTTGAAACACAAAACTCAAAGTGGGTTGCAACCACTGTTCCCTCTAAGCTGAGTTAGTGTGAGCTAGCTCACAGTTTTCTAGCTTCCGGCTCACACATTTTTGTCTTAGCTCAGGAAGAAGGGCTCCAGAGCAAACTAATTTATGCAGTAGCCAAATCGCTCGCTCACAACTTTAATGCCAGTAGCTCACAAAGTAGAATTTTTGCTCACAAGACTCCACAGCTTAGAGGGAACATTGCAACTATGTGAAAATTTCGTAAAACTCTGTAAAAACCCAGACCGATTTGCAACCAAATAGGGAATGTGAGATTGCCATGTCAACCACGCAGATAAAATTCAGAAGGTGATTGAAAGCCCTGCTATTTGATCTGATCCACACATACAGTAAGCAACACACTATAGCTCTTCATAGTTCTCTTTGAACATTTGTTTTGGCTCCATCCACTTTGGCTTATTTGCTCCACAATCATTCATGTGCAATTTGGGGAATCTTGGCAAGGGTGAAAAGCTGAGTGTCGATTTCCCCTCCAATACGGACTATAGTGGCTGGAGAAGGGTTTGTCATGCCTGCCACTTGCCAAGGGGTTAATAGAATTGGTTCTACAGTAAAAGACACTAATCCATGGAGTGTGGGAATTGGCTGTACTGGCCTGGCGTTATGAGCACAGTCAATCTGCATGCTAAATAAATACACGCTACCCTGAGTCTCTGTTTTGCCATACTTTTGCAATCTTATACATGACCTTTCTAGTTCAGCGATCTTCACCCCATAGATCAGAAACCTTGGGTGGATCACAGAACATAATCTGTGCAACACAAGCACTTACAGAATCATCCTCTTCTCATGCTTCCTCCACTGGGGCTAAGGCAGTCTTGGACATGTACAGGAAACACATACCTTCAGTACCACCCCAACGAGGTCCAGATGCTCCAGAAGCAGCGCCTCTGCATGCAGGTTTCCTCCCATGTTGCTGACCTCCTTCAGTTTGGCACCCCAAATGTCTGCTTCCATCACTTGGATGGTGAACTGATCCTGACACATAGCTTAATTAATTGGTCACTGGACCCAGCTATGAGGAATGCGGGGAAAGGCTGTAGCCATAATGGGGCCGGTGGATGCTCTACCCCAGCTAGAGCCAAAACTCACCAATACGTTTTGCAAAAAGTATTTTTGGGAGGAGCACAGTCCAAGCATGTTCCTAGATGGTCTGGATAGGAAGGTGTACATAAGAACATAAGAACATAAGAACATAAGAACATAAGAGACGCCAATGTTGGATCAGGCCAAAGGCCCATCCAGTCCAACACTCTGTGTCACACAGTGGCCAGAAATACCAGTGCCATCAGGAGGTCCAGCAGTGGGGCCAGGACATTAGAAGCCCTCCCACTGTTGACCCCCCCCAAGCACCAAGAAGACAGAGCATCACTTGCCCCAGAGCCCCTAGCTATACCTTGTGGCTAATAGCCACTGATGGACCTCTGCTCCATATGCTTATCTAATTCCCTTTTGAAGCCATCCATGCTTGTAGCACCCACCACTTCCTGTGGCAGTGAATTCCAAGTGTTAATCACTCTTTGGGTGAAGAAGTACTTCCTTTTATCCATTCTAACCCGACCGCTCAGCAAGTTCATGGAGTGCCCACAAGTTCTTGTATTGTGAGAAAGGGAGAAAAGTACCTCTTTCTTTACCTGCTCTTTCCCATGCATAATCTTATAAACCTCGATCATGTCACCCCTCAGTCGTCTTTTCTCCAAGCTAAAGAGCCCTAAGCGCTTTAACCTTTCCTCATAGGGAAAGTGTTCCAACCCTTTTATCATTCGAGTTGCCCTTTTCTGCACTTTTTCCAAAGCTATAATATCCTTTTTAAGGTGTGGTGCCCAGAACTGCACACAGTATTCCAAATGAGGTCTCACCATTGATTTATATAGGGGCATTATTATATTGGCTGATCTGTTTTCAATACCCTTCCTAATAATCCCCAGCATAGCATTGGCCTTCTTTATTGCAGTCACACACTGTCTCGACATTTTCAGTGAGTTATCCACTACAACTCCAAGATCTCTCTCTTGCTCAGTCTCTGCCAGTTCAGACCCCATCAATGTGTATTTATATTTAGGATTTTTGGCTCCAATGTGCATCACCTTGCACTTGGCCACATTGAACCCCATTTGCCATGTTGACGCCCACTCGCCCATCCTTGACAGATCCCCTTGGAGTGCCTCACAATCCTCACTGGTTTTCACCACCCTGAACAACTTTGTATCATCCGCAAATTTAGCCACTTCACTGCTTACTCCCATCTCCAAATCATTAATGAACAAGTTAAAAAGCAGTGGACCAAGTACTGATCCCTGCGGTACCCCACTGCTTACCACCCTCCACTG